TTAAGCCCTCCTTGAAGCCCCCCTTTAAGCCCCCCCTTCGTCGAAGGTCTGGGGCCCAGCCCCAACAATTTGATGGAGAGAGAAGGAGAGAGGCTGCATTGCAGAGCTGGTCAAATGCAGTGATGGTGGCACGCCGTCCCTGCATCCGCGGCTCGCATCCGACCCCAGCTGGGCTTCGAACACCCCTTGTTCCAGAACACTGCAAACGACAAGTCGCAGATGCTGTGACGTGAGTCGGATTGCCTTTGCCCACGCTTCGGAATGACCACCACTCTAAATCGGCTGGACGTGTTCTGCGTGTTTGAATTCTGGCATAGTGGGGAATCGTTGTCAAGCTCGAACATTGAAATTGGCAGTGCAGTATTTGCTCTATCCCGCCATCCACAACGTCCATTGCCGATGCACGCCGATGCCGAAGGGGCCCATCTGCGAAAGGTGGTAGTTGCGCCCAGAAAGAGCATCCCAGCCAAGTGCTTAGAATTGAACATACCCGCAGCAAAGCTGTTGTGATTTTCGATTCTTATCTTTACGTGGTTTAGCGTTTGGGTCACTCGCCAGCCCGTGCACCAGCACTTCTCAAACCATTTCGCTTTTTCCGGTCGCCGGTCAGCAGTTGTTAAATGTGAAAGATCATTTAGAGCTGTGTTTTTTGGTAGCAGCTTCAGTGCGCTTCGGTTTCGGATTTTGCTGCCGACTTTAGAGATTCTCTGGACCTACGAAGCAGGGTTTTACAAGCGCTTCGTAGATTGGCCTGGAATTTTGTCCGCACAGGGGCAGAAACTCTCAGGACGGTCCAGCTGTTTAGGGTTGGTTTGTGGGGCTTGCGAGCCTAAGCTTGCTTTGGCATGAGGCGATAGAGAACTAAAGAATCGCAAATAGTGGGTGCAGCATTTCATGGGGCCGTTAGTCGAACGACGTGTGGAGTTGTGGAGCCCGAGAGAGTTGAGGGTTTGGCGTGTCAGGTGCTTCAGGTGAGCTGGTGCTCTGTGCAAGTGGAGCCCTGGCTCTAAGCATTTCAGCTTTGCCTCAAAACCCTAAACAGTAAAATCCCAAGCCCTCGGCCTGTGGCTAAGCTCAATGACAAGATAGTTCGCACATTTGGACACGAGAGAGACACGTCGACTTGGTCTTCCAGGTGATTCTAACAACTCGTTTTATTCGCGGCCGTTTCAGATCAAAATCAGTCATGCAAGTGGGGAGCGTTATTTTTTGACAGACTGGCATCACTAAATCCTCTGATGCCTGGTCTTAGTCAAAGCGTTAAGTTCAGAAAAATCAGTGCAGCACGGGATTCAGAGACGGATTCGGAATGTGTTTGTTCGACTAGATTGGAAATCCAAAGTTTGCAAACAGCAGTTGTGCAAAGGTGTGGTTGTCGGCGGGAAACAGGATTGCAGGCCTTATCGTTACGGCTTCATCTGGCGCAGCAATTCGCCCGATGGAGGCGTTGACATGCCGGCATCGGCTGCAACCAGAGCATTCAAAGAATTGGTCTCTCAACGTTTATGCATATAGCAATATTTCTACATCTGCGCAGGTGCTGTCTTACTGTTTCAGTATTGCAATGTGTGCACGGGCCGTATGACATAATTGTGTTTAAACAACGAAGTTCAGTGCTGTCAGGTTGCCCCGTTGATGCATCGGCTTGAGATGCTGCTGAAGAGCTTCTCGCTTGGTTACTAGTCGGTCTTCTAAATCTGAAGCTTGACGCCATTGATCTCCCAAGGCCTGGATGCTGCCCCAGCACCTCCTGCACTCCTCGCACCCCGGCGACGTGCGCTGGAAGAGGTCGCGGAGGAGCTGCGTAGCTCGGATCAAAAATGATGAATGTTTTTGCCGGCAAGTTGTTGTGTTGCAAATGCGGTAGTCCACCTTACACCTTTGTATATATAATTTGTGTGTCGACTGTTGTTGTCGATTGATTCGTTGATTGGTTGGTTGGTTGGTGGGCAAAGTTGGGGCGCAAGCTAGACGAGGACCTGCACCTGGCGGATTCGCCTGGAGCATGTTTCGGACACCTGCATGCCATTTGACGATAAACACAGACGTTACTTCCGGCAGAAAGACGCCAAGAAAACCACGACATCCGACAGTATCAACTTCACGTTAATTGGTTTGCCTGTGCCAAGGAGCAGCCCAAAGCGCGGCAGCGGTGCAAAAAACAGATGAGGCCACATGTTAAAGCTATCTTCTTCTCGTCAAGCATCTCCACAGCTTGAAAGAGGGAGTTTTGACAATCCTGCAAGTCGTAGGTCGTAGGCCTCCACATCGATCCTGGGTCTGTTCTTCATCCTCTGTTGCTTCAGGAATCGGAGTTGACGCTTTGCGATCGGGAGGCCCGCGCTGCTGCCCCAATGCCAAAATACGATCTCGTACGAGTGGGAATCAGTGCCTCAACTCAGAAGAAAAGACGGACCGAGATCGCAAGCATTCTGCGCGACCGGAGCAGTCCACTCCTAGACGTATCCGACTGTACATGCTGGATCGCGTTTCCCTCGACATCCTCGCCCGATTGCGCCAGGCCTTGCCCAGCCGGCACTGAGATCTTTCTGTGTGATTACTCCATCCAGCTGACCTGTCAGGCACAAGTGCGGCAGTTGCTGGATCGCATGATGGAAGCGATCGCTGCTTGACTGAGCCAAACGCAAGCTGAGTTGAAAGCCAAAAGAGGCTAAAGGACTAAATGCACTCCGAGCCCAGGCCGGGGAGCCCTGGCATTCTCCACCGGCACAGCGCCGGCTCTTGGGCCTGGAGCGTGGCCTTCGTGAGGCGGCGGAGGAGTTGGCCAGGCTCGCCTTTTACGGACCAGACGGAGGGCGTCACATTGGCAAGTCATCAATGCTCAGGAAACTTTAAGCGTCGGAATGTCGTCCAGTGCCACGAAAGCCAGCTAGTGGTAGGGTCTGGGAACGTACACGGCAGGGTTTGACAGAGTCATGTCAGGAAGGCCATGCTTGTCCGGAAGTTGTTTGTCCGATCATGGGGCACGAAGGGTTATGTACTGGGATCTATTTGGAGAACTTGATGTTGACGCTGGAGGAAGCATCAATGATTCAGCTTCTGGCAGTCGCGGTTGTAAGCTCCTGGCGTTCACTTTTTTCATTTTTGACCATTTGTGTGAACTATGAAGTTCAAGGACGTAAGCTGCATTCGCAGCTTTTGAATTTCACTGAAGAACGCCCAAAACGTAAGCTGGAGGTCGGCACGCAACCTGAACGGCGCGGCGAAGAATCTAAAGTTCATCCGTCCAGTCAACATGAAGGATCCGGAGGACGTGAGGGTCAGTGGCATGGCAGCCGACCCGCCATCGCGAATGGAGCCAGACAGACTGGGTGATCATCACGGAATCTCCGCCATCATACTGTGGCCTCGCTGCATTGTGGAGCCTTGAAAACACCAGCAGGGCTAAAATAAAAGCCACAGAAAATGCAGTAGTGCCGATCCTACGACACTAAAGCCCTGTAAAGGCTTCCTTACTGATAGTTATCCTCTGCCTCGTTGCCGAATAGATGAGTGGGGATGATGACGATGAGACGAGGACCATGGTATGGCCTGTCGCCAGCATCGGCATTCATCGTCATCGTCGTCGTCATCCTCACTGTCCTCTTCCTCATCATCTTCAGCATCAGCATCAGCATTAGCATCACAGACAGCATTATCACCATCGTCCTGACCATCTTCAGTCAGCGTCATCGTCATCGTCATCGTCAACGTCATCATCATCATCATCATCATCATCATCGTCATCATCATCACCATCAATGTCATCGTCGTCATCATCACCATCATCATCATCATCATCATCAGAGTCATGATCATCATCATCATCATCGTCATCGTCATCATCATGTGTATCACAGTCATGGTCACTCCCAACAGCAGAAGCATCATCATGGTCATCATGGCTATGATGCCCGGCATGATCATGAGCGTCGTAATGCTGCTCCTCGTGATGAGGAGATGAAGATGAGGAGGAATAATCTTCAGATGATGAGGTGACGAAGGCTGACGAGAAGGAGGTTACACGATGACAGCGAATGATGCTGATCATAGATAAGTGCTTCGATACCGCAGCCACAAGATGGAGGAGTTTATTAATGGCCAGTGCAGCAAGCAGACATCCCAGCGCACAGTCATCACCGTGGCAGCAATCGCAGCAACAATGCCTGCCGTAGTGGCACGGACAAGCCAAAGCCTGTAGTGAATGTGCTAGGAGTGATGCGAGTCTTGTTTTTCACAATCTTTGAGAGCTGCTTACAATATGCCCTGTGTCGGACGAAACTGTAAACTGTTCAGGGGCGCTTCCGGAGACAAGACCGGCAAGAACCTTTCCGATGTCTTCGGTCCAAAAGCCCACTGTGCAGCAGCCATCCAAAGGATCTTGCACACGATGTCCTGATCATTCCCCAAGCATCCTCGGCTGTACCTATGGAAGGTCTTCCAGATTCCACAGACGTGCAGACCCGGCTGCGGAGGTCGAACAAAAGGTGTTCAGAAGGTGAAGCCGTGGATGAGGGGGTGGGGTGAGACCTGCGGGCACCTTGTTCTTGCAGCTGCTGAGGATAGTGTGCTCGCTGTTGCATAGCCCAGGCGCGCACTTGCGGCATCTACCTTTACTTAGCTGTCATGCTGCAAACCATGAGCAGCTTGCTCACAATCTTCTCCACTGTTTAACTTCTGGGGCAATTGGACGCGGTTGTTAACTGTTTTTCGACATGAGGGCCCTTGTCCTGCTGCAGAAACTCATTTGCAAAGCATGGTGAGCAACTTGTCGGCAACACATTACATGAGAACTGAGTTTCAAGCCTATTCAAGTCAAAAGGACATGCTACTACATCGAGTCTCGAAGCCTCCGAAAGTACGTCCAGCAAGGACATTGCAGTCTGATACCAGCTTGTCAGTGTTTCCTGCGAGACATGTCTTCTTGCAACTTTCGACCGAGAACTTCATACGACAATGATGGAAGCATTACCGTGCAGTCAACATCGTCGTGTGCTGGCTTTGCAGTGTCTGAAGCAGGCTGCATTGCACCAGTCGAAGCTTTCGAGCACTTGCCCAACCCATAATCGAAACTGTGAACATTGCAGCTGATGTGCAGTCATAGCAGATGCAAAAGGCATAGACTGAACGGACCGCAGACAAGCAGGGATCGCGATATAACCCGCCCTTTTTGCCTCTCTTTGCGATTGCCTGTCTCGCTCCCTCCGGGATTTCAGCCGGGGGTGAAAAGATTGGTAGTCAAAGTGTCGAAATATCCAACATGATGTTCCATTCGTGGCCGCAGCTATACTCAAGAACTAGCATGAACCAGCGATGTTCTTGTGCTGCGGCGCGACCCCAAATTGCAAATTCATGAGCACTGCAGCGGTACGTCTAACCTATCAGCCTTTGATCTGTGTATTCCGTGTGTTGTCTGGGAACCCATACGGCCGAATGTGAGCTGCTGGCATCGCGGCGGTCAATTTGTGGCGAGTGGCCATGGCGGAGACCCTTCCCTCCATACATAATATGCATGCGGCCCATCTCTCGAGCGACTCGAGGCAGCAGAGCGGTGACCGGGTAAGGGCAGCTGGGTGCGTTGGCGTTGACCCTCACAGGCAACGAATTGAGCTTGCCCGCAAGCTCAAAGATGCAGGAGTGCACTTCCCGGTGTCTTGTGGAGGGCTTGGATGCGACCAAAAGCGGGCACGGGAAATGAGCTGTCTCCACCTTCCGTTATTCTGCACATCGTGAGGATTTCCACGATTAGGATTACACGCTGGCATGAACGAGTTTCGACATGTAGACCATAAGCATCAACGCTGGGAGGACCGCTTGCCGACGAGCACTCCAAGATTCTAGCGTCGCAAATAGGAGGCTTCCAGATCGCGCGAAGTCTTGGATGGTGCTTCATGGATTTGCCGGATGTTGCTGCTAGAACAGTATGGAGTGCTACAGTGCAGGCATGCAGTGCTCCATGCTTCTCCAGGCGATCGAAGATCAGCGGCCATGCTCTTTTGGATGGGGGAGGCTTGTGGCGCTGTTGCCTTCTTTCCAGCTTCGCTGTGGCCCTCTGCTCTGACCAGGCAGGAGCTCAGGCTCTGGCCGCGCAGTTGGGAGAGGCCCTATAAGGTGAGACGCTTGTCGTGACTTGGGCCGGGGTGTCTGGGGTTGAGGACCGCGACAACCTCACTCATCGCATGGCCATGACGTCGCTCTTGGCTTCTGGGCCGACCGGCGTCCAAGCCCTGCATGCAGCCCTGGGAGGTGCCTCCTTGAGTGCAGGGATGTCGCTGTCTTGCAGAATTTTGCGGGCGTGCCTCCGGAAGTGCCTAGAATCCTCGCGCTGTTCTCAAGCCTGTGTCGAACTGTGCAGGTTCCGACCCTCTGTGCCGACAGAATGCGGCAGAAGCTTTGGCCATGGCAGGCGATTCCGGGAGTGATGCCCTCGTGGACAGGTCGGCGGCTAAGATCGCTCAGAAGCTTACAGGTCAATGCAAGCACACATACAGATGAAAAGACAGCGGGCGGGGGGGGGGGGGGGGCA